AGCTGAATTATAAAAAATTCGTTATTAAAATCAAAACAACTTTTATAAAGTTGAAATTCGCAGGCCTGTGTATTCATTTTTCATTTCTTTCTAAAGAAACACGCACAAAGAAAAATGTGTTAGGGACGTATTTAATTGTTTGTGTTTAAGCACAAAGCTACACAATGGGGTATCTGTGCTGTGCCAACTATGGGTATCTACACCCGGGTTTTAGCATTATAAATCTCCAGACTTATCGCTAAGCCACCGGGTGGCATTAGTGATGTAAGCATTTGAGTTTGTTTTACATATTAAAAATTCGGTGGTTACATGAATCACGACATTAAAATAGTTTTTATGATAGTGGAAAAAACTGTCTAAGAGTGATCTGAATAATATGAAAATAGTTTTGATAGTCACAGAAAACTGTCTAAGGATGACTTGAATCACGAAGTTAAAAGAGTTTCTTTAATCACGTTGAAAAATGAATAAAGATGACCTGAATCACGACATTAAAACAGTTTTTATAGTCACCGAAAAAACAGTCTAAGGATGACCTGAGTCACGACATTAAAAAAGTTTTTATTACCACGGAGAAAACTGTCCAAAGATGACCTGAATCACGGCATTAAAACAACTTTTATAGTCACGAAAAAAAAACTGTCTAAGTATGACTTGGACCACGACATTAAAACAACTTTTATAGTCACGAAAAAAACTGTCTCAGTATGACTTGGACCACGACATGAAAAAAGTTTTCATAATCACGGAGAACAGTGTATAAGGATGGTCTGAACCACGACATTAAAACACTTTTTTTAATCACGTTCAAAAATTTATAAAGATGATCTTAATCACGACATTAAAACAGTTTTTAGAGTCATGAAGAAAACTGTCTGGGGATGACTTAAATCACTACGTTAAAACAGTTTTCATAATCACGGAAAAAATTGTCTAAGGATGACATGAATCACGTCGTTAAAACAGTTTCTTTAACCACGTTGAAAAATGTTTAAATATGACCCGAATCACGACATTAAAACAGTTTTTCTAAAAACTGTCTAATGACATTTTGAATCATGAAATAAAAACAATTTGGGAATGACGTGTCTAGCTCTGTTACTGTCTAAGAATTTAGAATAAAACAACAGCTAGAAATTGTAAAGTATATTTACCTGATTACATGATATTTATAAGGTAAACATTTCTGGATAAAACGTCGAGCGTAAGATATAATTAGATAAGGCACACTTGCTTTACTTTCGGTGTGTTTATTACTCAGCACAGTTATATGCATGATCGTCTCATTTCCAACAGAACTTAGAGGAAACGTCCTTTCTTTATACGATTTTCAAATATTTCGGAAAACGTTAAAATGGTTTCCCAAGTATTGTAATAAATATACTTCTAAACTGAATTTTTTTATCTTTATTTCATATAATATAATACGAGTTTATCTTAGAGAGTTATATATTCGAAGAAACTCCAGAAATAAATCAAAAAAAAAAAAACAAAGGTATGAAAATCCAATATTAAACAAGACATCTTAAGCTA